TAATATGATTCTTAAAACTAAGAATGGTAAAGTTTAAATGGGCCTTTCATGTTATATCATTAAATTTAGTAATACTATTTCTCGGGCATTAGGTTTTAACTCTTATAAGAATATACATATTTTTTCTATATATGTACAAATATTTTTCCGATGTGTTTTGGATATTCCTTCTCTAATAAAAGGTGTTACCATTTTGTTTTCTTTTGCATAAGAAAGGATATCAAACATTTTTCTTTTTCTAATTTAATAAGCCACGATAAAGAGGAACGTTACAATGTTACACGCTGCATTAAAGACGTCTCCAGAGTAAATAAATGACTGTTCATATCGAAATCGCAAGTATTAGTCTCATACAACAACGCCCCCCTATAGTTCGTTGCGATCGCGAATTGAAAATGTTAGCTAATTGAGAAGTGAAAATTTGCTTATAATGTCACATAAATTGATATTTTATTACCATTAGGAAATATCTCTTTTGAAAAGCTTAAAAGTTTTCAGTCACGACAATGTATAAAAATTTTATTATTATGATTAATTGCAATTATTATACTTAATTTTGAGAGAATTAACATTTTTTTGGAAGAATATTGTTTCAGTAATAGAATGTCGTTTGGATTTCGCATCATATAAGAAGTAAGAATGAAACCAACACGTAGCCACGTCTAAAAGCAAATGATTGAACTATTTTTACAATGGTTTATTGCATTGTTGCCTATTCCAAAAATAAATTCAATTTTCAAAAATATTTCTTTCTTGTAAGTATCACATTATAAAAATTAGCTTCTCATTTAGCTATTTATTAGTACAACATCTCAAATAAATATGTTTATTATTGGTTATACAATGTGTTCCACTTAAATGAAACAGTTTTGATTTTGTGCCATGACTAGATGGAAAAAAAATAAGGAAAACCAAATATATATTAACAATGCCTTTTTCCAATTACGTATTAACAAGGTGTAACTCACTTTCTGTTCCATCTGAACAGGAAAGAAACATGAAATAAGAAAAAAAAGACGAAAAAAAGTATCCTGCTGAAATAAAGAATAAACTTAAGATGTCATCCAATTCAGAGCTCCCATTATAATGTAAGTACCCTAGCTAAGCGGACAGTAACTGAAATTTCGATTGACTATAAATTTCTTGTGGTAATAATATCACTATGAATTCTGATCGTGGTGAAATTGGCAGGGAATAATAAATATTAAATTTGATATCGTGTTCGGAGCTGTAAATGAGGCTTAAACATTCTAATTTTTCGAGATTTTTTAAAAGTCATCAGTTAACTTTGCGATAATTTAGTGATTGATTCTGACACTATGCTACAGACCTTTAACTAGTTTTAATTTGGTCAAAAAATTTCGGTTGTCGATAACTTTTATTTGACGGTAATATCGAGTTAAATTCTGCAGGTAACGACTACGAAATGATTATATCTTGATACATTGATATCGGGCAGGGAATTTGAGTAAGGTTTTGAGAGCTAGAGCAAGTCGGAAAGAAATCTAACTTCAGATTTCATCTACACAAACATTCATTCATCAACATTTCATCGCAAAGTTAGAAAGCTTTCATTGAGTTAAAATAAAAATTTAATAGAAAAAAAGTTTTTTACATTAAAATTAAAATATTTATTTTTAAGTGATAAAAAAATGCTAATAAAAATAATTAAAAAACTAACACCAGTCAAACTTTTTGTAAAATTATCAATAATTTATCCTTTTAGTTAAAATACTTCTGAAGTAAGCTTCATTCATTAGCATACTCTTAAATCAAACAGCGCATTAAACAAAACAAAAAAGTAAATGAATAAAAAAAAATTAAAAAAATAAAGTTATTATAGAAATCAATGCGTAAGCTAAAAGCTCCCAACAAGTAGAATGAAAATGGCATTGAATGAAATGAGAAGCGTTCCCTAGTGTGGTAACCCATTTTACTAATTTTCTCTTTCGCAACCCCAATGTTTCGGATAATTTAGAAGCTATTATCGTAACCCTCTGACTAAATTTAGGTATCAGGAAGTGATTACAGTTAATACATGTTTATATATATGGCTTGAAATATATGATATTGCGTACGATTTACCAGACCCTAACGAACATTTGCATCCATGTTATCCCCAGTTACAAAGATGGCAATCATCAATTCTGCCACTAACTGAAACTGCTACTTTTTGCCATAAACAATCTTACTTATGATAGACTCCCACGTTTTCTTGGGGATGTAGGTCGTTTAAAAGGGAAGACCAGTCTTGGCATGCGCTCAACTATTCAAACACCAACACTGTGAAGATTTTGTAACGTAAATGAACGCATTGTCTAGCTGTAAAATCCCATATTGGGCCATCCATTCTCCCTAAAAATGGCAATAAGTGGATTTCTTGAATTTTTCAGTCACCGGTTGCCTCCATACAGCCTGGAGTACGTACTACCATCATAGTTTCACACACAATTAACCAGCTTTGCTGTGTAATGAAGAACTCTTTTTTTTCTCATACCATTATAATAGTATACAAAACAGTCTGTACCATCTTTATTCTTCTACAGTTTACAATTTTTTTCCTTGTGGATAACTTGCAACCTGGGCTTCTGATAACTTTTTTATTATGCAGATTTCTTGTAGGACATGTAAAAAGAAAAAAGAAGTTGCGAAAATTTTCTCCAAATCCACAGCAATTCGGAGGTTCATAAATGCTATAAGAAGGCTTGGGGATAAAGTTAAAGTTAATTTTCTCCCAGGTCACATGAGGCAACCAGTACCAAAAAATGCAGGTAAGTCATATACTGTGGCCGAGATAGCATGGTTGACAGGGCGCTGGATTCACATTCGTGAACACGGCAGTTCAAATCCAGACTGTCGAAGACTCCTCGCCCAGTAAAAGGAGCCTGGTGCGCATTAAATCTGTCGGGTCACAAAGTACTTCATGCTTTCATAACAAACTATACCTCTGAGGGTGCTGATATGGAAATGGATCGTTCTCTGATTCATGTCAAAATTACGATCCGTGAATGAATAGATGTATGATTGGGTCTACCCGATGAATGGGCGTGACGTATGGGTAATGGTAGAAGTAGAATTCTCAGTCATAGATGGCGCCACTGGAAAAAGAGAACAATCACCCCCTCCCCCCTTACCTTAGTGGCCTACAATAGCTGCATCAAGTCATTTACTAGCATTTGAAGGAAGAATTGTTGTCCCAAATTCGTATAATGCTTTCACTTACTTTATTTCAAAATCTTCAAAGTGGTGGTTTTTGGATATTAGGGCACATGTCATTAATAACATGCCTTTCCAAGAAAAAGGCTCACCTCAGTTGCCACCAAGAACAAGAAGTTTCAGTCTGTGGCAAAAAGGGAAGACTGCCATCATTAAAACTTGACACAACGTCATTCTGTTTGGAATTGGTAAATGGTATGCAACATCACATATCCCAAGTCATTTATAAACTTTACGAATATTTTGGCTAAAATCAAAAGTGGCTTTATTTCGACTGGACACCTTTTTGATGTTCTTTTCTACTTATTCAATTTTATTTGCAATGGATGAGGAAGTGAGTGACTTCAATTAAATATGTGTTTAGACTTTCTTAAGATCGATGCTTCACCCTCATTATTTATTTATTTATTTTTTATTATAAATTTTTTGCATCGAGTCATGACACAAAATAAAGGCGTATTTAAATGTGACACACTGTAGAGATTACACTCAATCTTTAATATGTTCTTTTAAAGTATTTGTATAGCTTCTGAATTTTTCATTATTTGTAATAGATCACATAGAATATTTAAATAATTTTTGAAATTTAAAATATTTTTAGCCGTTAAATTACTTTAATATGTTCGATTTTTGCACGTCTCTTGTTTTTTTCCCTATGTATGATATTCCGGTTCATATTACTTAAACATTTTTACAAGCATAAAAATGATGCATAAAATATAAGTCGAAAGTATGCTTTATCTAATGTATAAAGTACAAGAAAAATAAATACCTTAACAACTTTTGATCTAATAGTAGAATTTTTACGTACTAGAGCAAAATATTATTCGTTTGATGAACTGACCTTAGATATGCTAATTATTTAATGCAGACGGTATTTTAAGGTATGAAATTAGACACAAAAATAGACTTTTTCTCGATAAACATGCTTGTTTTCTGAATGATTAGAGATATAGTTTATAATATAGTTTAGGCAGGAGATCGGTCGAAAGTATTGAGCCCCATAATGTTTCCTTAATTTTTCTGGCGTATTTCACCCTGTCTTTGGAACTTTTGAAGTTTTAAACCTAATTGATAAAATGTATTTTTCCAAATATATTTCCTTATGAAAAGAAAAAATATTTTATTTTGAGAAAAGCCTATGCCTTGGATAAGTTTTTAAATAAGTCCATGTAAAAAAGAAAAACATTCTTCCAGTTATTTATTATTTTTTTATTATTTAATTTACTAATGGTCGAAAAAATTTCGAATTGTTCAGAATACAAATTTTTCAAATTTCCTATGTCATTTGAAATGACAAAATCTAAAATATGAAGGCAATCGCTCAAAAAGTTCTTGAGTAGTAAATAGTTTAAAAAAAATTTTTTTTTGAGGTGGCAGAAAATTCAATAAGTGAAGTTTCAAAAAAGGGGCACAAGTTTTTGACCACTCACAAGTCTAAAGTATTGGACACATGCATTCCATATTGCGGTTACTCCCCCATTTAAAGAATCGAAATCAGTCTGAAAAAAAGTTCATTCGGAAAAAGTACTTTGTTGCACTTGATTTAGCAACTTAAAATATCGTTTGCATTAATTAATTAGTATTTTTAAGAGTAGGCTCTTGGAATCATTAAAATATCGTTTTAGTACACGCAGATCCGATTATGAGATCAGAAGTTATTAAGCTGTTACCTGAATAAAGACTGGCCACTGAAGCTGACTGCCTGAACTGAGTCTCCATGTATTTGGGAAGGAGGACGTAATAACCTATCAGGCCATTAAGTCTGAACACTCCCCCCAAATAATGGCAGATCAAAATGGGATTCTTTCCGAGTCTCTTCATTGCTTTGCCCATATCTGAAAAAAAAAAAAAGAAGTAAAGCATATAGTAACGCTCTTCAGTGCGAATGATGAAGCATCGTCTGCTATTCCATAGGTTGCTGTTGTATATATTAGACGTTATTTTACATTTCTAGTCATTTGATTAAGAAAAGTTTTACAGAAATTATCTTCCCCATTATTACCACTCAATAAATCCCCTTCAAATGAAGGAAGTGATACTATTCATAATCTGCGCAGCTCGAAAGAATACAATAAATATATCAATCTGTTTCGAAATTTGAATTCACTCGTTTTGTGAAATGTCAGTCCCCTTCTGAGATTTATTTTTGAGTATCTGCAGTTATTTTATCAAAAATGTTAATTCCCAAACAGCATATCATTTCTAATTCAACAACGAACCGAAGTTAAAATCATGACCTGCCCGACGAAAACTGAATATTCAGATTTCAAATAGGGAAATGGTCAGGATTTTTTGATTAAGGCTGATTGATTAAGGTGTAAGCATTAAAACTCTATGGTAGGTCATGAAAGTGAGAGTTTGATCGATTGCACCAAATTTTCAGCAATTCTCTGTTGATCAGGGCTTAAAAAATTCTTTTAAATAAACTTCTGACATAGTATTTAGTACTGTTTGGTTATTTGTGTTTGCGTCACACATTTGGTCATTTTTGTTTGTGCGTCAGATATATTTCATTTCACCATTTCAAACTCAACAGTCCCAAAATATTTCAAATATAAATTTCACTGACTAAAATTATAATAATATTTAATATTAATTATAATATTAATAACCGACTGGCCTGTGTAGGGGTTGGGGGAGTGCCCTGCATCAGAAAGGTTCTGGGTTCGAATACCGGGCAAGGCATGGATGTTCTTTCCTTCTTTGAACTATCTGTCCTTACTGTGAGAGCAACGTTGGCCCATCTAACATGGTGCCCTTGAAAGAGTGGCCAACAAAGCTGCCCCTCAGATTCCTGGCTGACCTAGGTCATTATCCAGATGGGCATTGGAGAAAATAAATAAATAAATAAATAATACTAATTACAAATATTTATAATTAAATTAATAGTGATCATAATAACCGTAAGAGAGTTTAAATTAAAAAAAGAGAGTTAAAAATAGTTTGGTGTCATTGTACCTTGTAAGTAAGATCCTCAATGGTACAAAGAGTTAATTTTGTCATTTTAAAATACGCATGAACGTAAGCTTAGTGTAGTGCAGTCTAATCATTCAGTTTTGTAGAGGGGGGGGGATAGGGAAATTTGAAAGTGCACTGCTTTTGATTTGCTTTCGATATTTAAAAAAGAAAAGAAACAGATCAGTTTGTGTAGACTGAAATTATTACCTTTGAGTTGTTCTATTGGCGATTTCGGTGGTTCTGGTTTGGTTTCCTTCTTATTTTTAAGTTCAGATGGCAACTTCTTTCCGGGGAATCGTTTAGGGAAGAGAACCATTGGAATAGAAAATATAAATATGGCTATGCCTAATATGATGAAGCCTAACCACCAAGCTCCGATCCATCGGGGGTCTTTTGTGCTATATCCGGGATCATCTAAAAAATTATAACAGTTCATTTACAGCATGAAATAAAGGTTAGTTCAAACAAATCATTTTCAAACCATTCTTCAACAACAGTAATGTATTTTTCAGATAGTGTTGAATATTATTGCACTATTTTCTTCTTCTTTTTTTAAATTATTAATAATCATTTAATAAGTGGTGTCAATCGTAAACGAAAATTTGAATGAATTTATCAAATAATATTTGTTCACAACAACCAGTTTATATCATTTTTACATTGATTTTTAAACAAAAATAACCTTTGGCTTCCAAAAAAGCAAAAGCAAATGATATTAATTCATTATATTTTGCATTACGTCTTTAAATTAAAATCAAATTTCATACAAAATAATATTAAGTGCAGTTATTTTCCCTGTGATTTTGTATGAACTGAAACTACATATTTTTAACCCCTTGCCTGTGAAATATATTTGAGAAAAATACACCAAAAATGGAAGATTAATTTTTTCTTTCAATTTGTTCTTTATAATCATCAAAATGTTGGAAATAGATTATTTTATATAAAAAAAAAATTTAACGAAATATCTAATATACTTAATACTCTCACATGTATGGGAAATGTTATTTGATACAGTAAGTTCTGCGCAAAAATTACAGCAGAATAAATCAAATAGCATAATTTTCATGACAAATATGTTAAACTAATACAACAATCTTATTAATTATATCAAGTGTCATGAATTCCATGCCCCTCAGATTTCTTTGAATTTCCAATAAATTAAAAAAATCAGACAAATGGCGCGAAACTGCCAAACTGCAAAATTTAAAAACAAGAGTATCACCTTCCATTGGGAAAATGGGACGGGCATTTCAAAGTTGACTCATTTGCGTTGCCCTAACTGAGTTCGGGTGTTACACCACGCATGGATGAATTTTAGAAAATGCTAATTAGATGAACAGTTTAGTGAAGCAAGTTATCTGACATTTNGAGGCGGCTCAGGCTCACACTAAAATTTTCATAAACTTTTTTTACTAGTTTTAAACAAACGGTTGATTCCGCTGTTTAGTTTAAAATATATAAAATTTGTAAGGCATGAAAAATTACAGAGCTTTACTGCTATTGCTCGGTGCTTTTGCTGTGTGTGTATGACTTTTATCTGATTTTCATTTTTAATTTTTGTTTTAGTCATCTTGGAGTTCCAGTCGATTCAATTTTTCTTTTCGCTTTTTCTTTTACAGGTTCGTAAAAAGGGCATTAAAAAGGTTTCAATTTATTAATTTACTTGCTGAGACATCAAAAGTCAAGTGACGAGACTACAAAATTTAGCCTCTATCTCTGATGGATCTGAACTCTAAGTAAACCTGTCTCGGACACCCAAATGCGAGCTCTAATTAATCTCTAGTCGCTATATAGTCTAGTAGCTCGGGATATACTCTCGGATATTTTCAGTAAATCGCGTTAGTTGACTGTAATACTTAAGTTCGCTGAAAAAATCGAATGTTAGGTTCTTTTAAATGGTAGGTAGCTCAGGGAAGCATTTTAAAATGGTTCTGTAGTTCAGAAGCTTTATAAGTCTGACGACTACTTCTCTTCAAAATAAGTAGATATCATTAAAAATAATTTTATATATACTGCTCACACGCCTGAACAATGCCCTGATGAAATTTAGTTTTTAAGTATAAAAAAAAAGGCACTATAATCCATGAACGCCATATATTTATATATAGAATGGAATATTAATTCCTACTTACAGAAAGGATCTTCATAAAAACTGAGACAAAGAGAGGATAAAAGAAAGCCAAAAGTAGGTCCCAGGAGGCGCAATGAAAATAAGGTTCCTGAAAGAAATATGGTTTTAAAATCGATATCTTGTAACTATTATAAAGATAAATTCCAAGAGTTCTATAAAAATATGGCATTTAGTACACAAAATTTAAACAATATATAGTTTATTTAAAGAATATTACTTGGTTTGAAATCTAAAGCATCACTCACTACTTGCTTAGTATGGTTTTATTTCTCACTACATTTAAAAATCATTCGAGACTCGGTTTTGACTGTTCAACTCAAAATTTTCTGAACAAAATCCAAAACCTTGAAATGATGAAAGGATGTAGAATAATGTACTGGATGATAGGATGAAAAAATTACCATTTCATATAATTGTTTTGAGATGTGTTTACTATTTAACATGTATTAATTTTTCTTGGATAATTAATTAATATGTTTTATTATTTTACTTAAAAAATAGAAAAAAAAAGTTTGAATTGTAAGGTACAAGAATTTTTACGAATTCTAAAGAAGGTAGTAATTTTTAATGGCAAAATGAAAAATTTGAATTATCGAAATTTAAAAAATTCGCATACTTAAAATGTGATTTCTCAAGAACTATGAGACCAATTTCGTAAAAATCCGATCATTAGAACAAGAGTCATTCAAGGTGATGTTTTTTTTCTTCTTGTGACACTTTTTACGCCTATAGGTTAAAATTAAACTCTCGCTGTTGGTCTCACTGTGCAACGCTTTCGAAGATGAATGAACAATTGTTCCAATACATTTCCAAAGATTTATTTTAATTAGGGTTTGCCCAATATTCTCCGACGCCTTGGCAACGTTATGGTAGGTAACACTCTTTTTATTCACATGGCAGTTAAGTAGAATCTATAACTCATAATTGTATATTATTATAACAATAGCTTGGAGATTAAGTTTGATACCGTGGTAACGGAGAGTTCGCGTAACCTTCAAACGCCTATTATACACACTAGAGTCGACTTTAAATATTTACGATATTTTTGTACATTCACGATATAGTGACCTCACGTTGCACCATGTATCACTCTTAGAAAAAAAAACTTTTAAGCAATGAAGGAGTACTGAAAAATAAAATTTACATAATTTTAAATAATTTTTCCAGAGTTTTAGAAAACTCACCAAGAGGTGATTGCAACAAATTGGCATTTTTTATAGAATTATTTGCATGTGGCCCAAAGAAATTTTAATCAAATATACTTAACTAAGAATCATACATTGATATATCAATTTTGCTGCCACTAGATCTTCCTTTGCAAAGAAGGATCTTTCTCAGAAAAATTTTTCTCTCAATATCAGCAGCATCTCTGCAACATCAGTTTTCGTTTGAGTGATATGAAGTTAATCAGTTAATTTATAATAGTGGAAAAAAGGTATGAAAATTTTAATGAAATAAAATATAAAATAAATACTGTAAGTATGAAATTTTTTACTTAATTTTAAAGTGTGTCGCTATAAATGAATGCATACGTATAGAATAATCTATATTCAATATAAAGTATATAAATAGGATGAAAGGTCCGAGCATTATCATTGGACGAAAAATTCACATGATAAGATCTAGTTTTCTAGCGTGAAGGTCATAAAATGAATAAGTTAAAAAGGCTATGTTAATAGGGTCGACCTGAACTGATTTATTGACACTCAATTTTTAAGAAATTATTTACTTGTAATTCTTATTTATTATTTCATTTTTATATTTTCTGTCAATACTACGTTTTATATTTTGATTACTTTTCCGTATTGAAGTCTTATTAGAACTGAAGGAACTTATTAGAACTTATTAGAACTGTAATCTTATTAGTTCTTCGTTATAATAAATAATCTTATGATATTATCTTATTACACAACATATTATGATACACGTATGTATGAGGTATCTTATGATTCATTTTGCAATCATTAAATTATAAAGTGTATCAAAAATGTTCAAAGTTACATATACTTTTCTTATAAACTTCGTGTAAAACTGTAATCAGTTAACATTTGCAATCAGAATAATGATTACAAAATTGTAAAATATTATTAGGAACTATTTTTTCGCTCTATAACTGACTATACTCTTCAACGATAACTGTTTAATGATTATTTTAGTAACCAAAAATTAAACGGGAAATCAAAAAACAATATTGTAGATGAATTTGCGATCAGATGATCGGTAATTAAATCTAAGAAACTAAATCTATGTTGATACGATAAAACAATTTTTGGTCTTTCATTTAAATACTTTTTTAATTTAGGCGTAACAATCTGTTTATTGTTAAAATAACAAAAAAGAAATGTTTGTAGAAATCGAGGAGAGGTGAACGAAGGATTCAGAAATCAATTCATACAGAAAATCACTGCTTGTTTCGTCAATCACATTTCGCTTGCTAATAAACTATAATCGATTCATAAAACTCTTAATATCTAAAGATCACTAAAAATAATAATCGTGAAATTCATTATCAATGTGATTATAATATTTTTATCATCACATTTGTATACAAATATAACGTTTTCTTGGGAAAAAAAACGCCCTTCTGATTATGATAATAATAATAGATAAGAAAAAATGAAAAACCTAAGAATGTAGTTTGCACATTCAGCTTTTCTAATCAATTTTATCGCTGATGTTAAAAACTCGTAAGACAAACACTAATTGACCTTATAACAGAATAGTTCACGTGTTCATAACATTCTCCGAAAATTTAGTTTAAGTCAATGCAATGATTATCTGTGTATACAGATGACTGGCGCTGGACTCCTCTAAAAAGATAGCCGGAATTTTTTTATCGTCAAATTCAATTTTGCATTACATAGTTGTGAGAAGGGAAAAAAAATACATACTTCCTTTTTAAGTGACATCATAGTTCTCATAAGAAAAAAAAAACAATTTAGATATTTTTAAATAACAATTCAATCTAATCCAGAAATGGGTCGTCTAACCAATCCGATGGGAAGGCCTTGGAAAAGACATTCAAAACAGTTTCATTTTATTCACTTGGTTTCGTTTAGTGGACGAAAATGAAAAGATTACAAATTACAATTGTTAAATCAAAAAAATTGTGGAATAAGAGAAAGAAATATTGTTATAAATCTCACTTTTAAATAATAAGGTACAGGGCTTAAAAAAAACCATATCAAATTTGGATCTAATGATTAGATTTTCACGTACTAATACACAATCTTAATAGTGAGAGCCGAATTATAATCAGTTTTATTAATTAGTGCAGATAGCAAAACATGGGTTTTACTGGATAGATATACATTCAACTTATTTTGACTCTTTTCTCTCAAAAAAGCGAAGGGAGAGGGGGTAATTAGAATCTGGAATATACATTGCCAATGGCTTAAGCGGGAGAATTGTTGAGAGTTTGACCATATTTATGTTAATTTCACTTTTTGGTCGCTAAGCTATCTAAAAGAACTTGCGTTATTTAAATTTTAATTTCACAATGACGATTTGCTCTATTTCCATCAAATTTTGGATTTTGCGTTTTAATATTAAATAGATTAAATTTTTGTAAAAACTTTGTTAAAATGATTTTTTTAGACCAATTGCAAATTAAATAATAAAAAATAATGCATTATTAAAAAAGAATAATTTTTAAATTTTCTTTAAAAACTTGTTTAACTTGATGTAAACTAGTTTCGAATTCAGGATCAAAAATGTTTTGATTCGCTTCATTACTTCTGATAATATGGAGAAATATACCATACTTTGAAGTACCCCTTCAGTTTAAAGGTCAATAATCCTAATCCCTGAAAAAAGTGTGCTTATTTTCAGAAAATGGAAGTTTTTATGTCTGATTTCGTTTCTTAAATTTTCATCTGCATTAACAAAATAGCCTGTATAAGGTTAGATTATGTTTTTCTTTTTTGTTTTTCATACTGTACACAGATCCCTTTTAAAATTAACATTGCAGCAAAAAGAAACTTTAGGCTTGAAAATAATTTTTTTTTTGTCAAAATCCTTTACTAGTCAAAAAGAGGAAAGCCAAAAGAATGATAGCTCGATTCTGCAGAACTAGATTTCAGGGGGATTTTGTGAAAAGACTGGCAGTCCAGAGGTCATTTTGAAGGAGTTCTAAAGCGTTGGACCACACTTTAAAGTTTACTACATAATAAAACTAAAATTTATTGTTTTAAATTTTTGAGGATAATGGAACATAAAATATTGTAGGCTTTTTTTCATATTCTAATAAATTAAGTTGTACTTTAAATTTTTTCCCTGCTCTTATTCAGTAAGTAATTATAACTAAAAGTTATGAGCTAAAGTTTTTGTAAACAGTTAAGTTGTAAACTAAAATTTTAGCTAAATAACACAATTTTATTAAAAATATTGAAAATTGAAAAATTGTTTTGGGGTAGGTTGCGAAACATACCGCTATGCTTTAAGCGATTCAAACTATTTTTTAAAGACCTTTGAATCAAAGAGGAATTTCAGACCTGCAATATATTTACTTCAAAGGAAAAAAAAACAATGAGATGTTTGAATTCACTTGAAAAGATAAGTAGATGTCTGGGAATGGAGTGATGCTGAAACACAACCATCGCACATATAGATTAAAGAGTCCAATGAATAGAAATTGATCTTTGATCTATTATTCAACTGAAAGGTAAATATCCAGAGTTTTCTTTTGTGTTGTTTTCTATCTTTTAGAGTCAAAAAGATGTTTTGAGGTTATTGACATGGAAAGAAAATTGAAAACCACTTTTTATAAAATAAATAAAAACGCTTTACAGATTACAGATTGTACTTAGGTAAATGTTTCGGGCAATATTTGTTTGTATAAATAATAATTTATGTTTAACCAAAGGAATATTAAATATTGGTTTGCTGGATAATATGATTATATTTTATTTAACCACATTGATATGTGAAATGTATTGTAACGTTAGGCCACATTATTTTAATTGCAGAAGAATACGAGAATTCACTTTATTATACTGATTAATTATTTGAACAAAATTTTTTGTGATTGTTAAATAAGCTAATTTTACGAAATTGTTTTAAAATTCTCATTTTTGATATGGATTAAAA